GGACACGGCGGCCGCAGACAGACGCCTCCAGCATAGCCGCGCCGAGGCTCGAGGCCAAGGAGCACGCGCAGCTCCCGCAGCTCAACATCTTGCGGGTCACCAGCACGGGCAAGGAGGTGAGCGGAAGGCTTCCCTGCGCCCTCGCGCCCCGAAAGGTCACCTCACTCAGCACCTCTCAAGAGCAAATGGAAGCGGACGACCGGCACACTCCTGAGACGGCACTGAGAATGCAGCCACCATCTCAGCAGCCTGGACTCGGGCAAGGCAGCCCTAGGGCTAACGGACGTGGCACCTCCTTGGCCGGCCGTCCACCGGCCCCTGCCCCGACCCGCATCCGCGTCCCGTCCCTGCCACTGCCAACCTTCTCCAACTCGAACGTCCACTTTCTCCCATTCTTACTTTGCTGAAAATATCGGGGCGGTTTCCTCCCCAAGACGCCTGATTATGGAAGTTAAAAATTTCAAAAGCCCGACCCCTCTTCTGCTGACACCCCACTTATCTTTTTTTAAATAGCATTTTGGCGCTCTAAACTGATCTCCCCAGCAAGGCCCAGTATGAAGCCTGAGCCACGGAAGTGAATGCGAGTCTGTAAGATAGTTAACAGTGCACGTAAAGGAAAGGGGCGTCTTGTTCTTGTTCTCTTCATCATACGTCAACCAAGGTTTTTATATCAAACCAAAGGGAAATACTCCGCTAGAATATGGATTGCTGAAGTCACCAAACTGTGATTATTGATCCTGTACATACCATTGTTTTTTAAAAAAAGAACAGAGCTTTGTATATTTGAAATGTTATAACGCAATTGCACTCAGCGTGGTATGCTAAAAGTTTGTCCTCCTTCAGATTCTTACTGTGTTGTAGATATGGTAGGGTTCCTAGACAAATATTTGTGTACTCAAGCCCTTTATTTAACTGATTAACTGTAGAGGCTTCCGAAACCTTCAAGATAAAGGCAATGGTACAGTAAAAAAATAAGAAGAATAAAAATAAAAGTATGTCTGGAGCTTGTCTCTCCTTGGCCTTCCATTTGCAATGTCCATGATGCAAAATCTTCCAGGTGGTACCTGATTCTTTTATTACTTGATGCTGACAAGGTCCATGGGCAGAGCCCAAGAGAAAAGCCTTACAGGTTATGCAGACTCTGAAGCCATATAAAATATATGCTCTGGGGTATTATTTGGACACATTTTTAATATGGTCCTGACTTCTTACAATCCTATGTGCCAAAGGACTGAGAAGTTATTTCAAGGTTCATTTAGCCCATGTGCTGATTAAGCTTATTGGGAGCTATGGTAGTCTTGGATCCTCTGAAGGAGCTTTTTTAAATGCCCACATAAATTCAACAGAAATGGTTTTCATACAGCCTAAAAGACATAAAATGTCAAAAATGTTCTGAATGCCAGTATATATGTTTTTAGACTAAAAGCAGAAGCAGATCAAAGCATTAGAGCAATGTTCCTATTGCAAGTCTTGGAGATAACATCTTCAGATAACACTGAGGTAAGCAACACAGAGTGCAATCACTGGAACAATTGTTGCTGGGAAGCCCAGAGCTATTAAAAAGAAGAAAAGACTCTGGACTATACCAGCAAACTTCCAAGGCTGGTCTGCTCCAGGGACTTCAGCTCAGCCTTCCAGCCTTTGTGTGAAGCTCATTGTTAAACAGGGCAGCTACTCTAGCAAAGGCATCACTGTCGGAATTCCAGCTCCCATTGAAAGGGTTATCAGCAGCTATTGTTTTGATGTTTCTCAATTTGCAGTGTTCAGGGGAGGAAACCATCCCCTCCTTTATGGCACCAATCCATTAAAACCTAAGGGCCCCTTTCCTGGGCTCCAGAATAATTTGTCACTTATGAGATATCCTCTCTTCAAACTGTCTGTGAAAATCCCAAATTATACAATTTGAAGTTCATGACCCCTTTTTCCTCTTTATGTTCCCAGCTCTCCCTCTCTCCCAGTTTGCTGAGCTGTAGTTCAGGGAAAATCCCTGTGAATCGCTCAAGCATCCAAACTTTCCCTATCTTCCTCCTCCCAAGCATAGGAAGATCTAACTTGTCAGGTAAAAAAGCCAAAAAACAAGACCAGACCAGAACCACTACAAGCCATTATTGTAGGAACAATCTGCTGGGACATCTCCAAACAAAGGAGAGAGAGAGCAATATGGCTGAGACAGGCAGTGCTTTTTATAGGACCAGAGTGGGGCTTACAGGATCTGGGGTGGGATTGAGTATGTAGTGGCTAGGGATTTGGGGGAGTTTGTGATATCACTAGGAGGGGCTGTGACATCACTAGTTGCTAGGAGGCAGCAAGTATAAGGTTACTCTTTTGGTGGCAAGAGGGACATGTTGGTAGGAGAAGCCGTATTTTAGGTGAGAAGCGGGGCATTATGGGAAGGAGAAGGCTATTTTATGTAGCAACCATTTTAAAGCGTGGGAACTCTAACATAACTGTTACTACAAATAATCCAAAACTCCCCTTGGCTCCCACCCCCACACACACAGACCAGCTCTTCTCCATTCCCTTATTAAGGAAACAATGAAGTGAACCTTCCAGGATATGCTGGTGCAGACAGTGATCTCTAGCAATAAATTACTTCCTCACTTAAGAGACTTTTATGGGTCAGGGAAACCATATGGCCCATGCAGCTGACTCCAGGTCAAATCCTGCAAACATGCTCGTCCATCTCACCCCGGTGGTCTTGAAAGACTGCAGGGTGCACAATACTAACATTTTTCATCCCCTCACTCCCCCATCCTCCAGATCCATGCAATTCACTCCCTATAGCTGGACTGCCTTCCTTCCTCACTCTGTAGCCACTGCTTCTGCACCTATAGGCTCTAGTACTGGGTTTGTCCTCTAGTCCTTCCTCTGCCGGCAACATCACAATATAGCCCGTGTGGGGAGTGTTCCCCTGGGATTTGTCGCCCTGGCTGATGTACTTCTCCACGTCTTTATCTCACTCATTTCTTTCTTCGTCCTGGCGATAAGAATCATGTAACATATGTTGTCTCTTCACAAATTTACCAAATTAGGTAGGCAAGGACTGCTTGCCCTGGGTCCTCTTGCCCCGTTCCCATTCCTGCTGGGGGAAGGGTGGGGAATGCTCAAAGCCACTCCTTTGTGAAACAGCATTGACTGGGACATTCATTCCCTACCCTGCACTTCTCACCCCAAGAGCAGAGACTCAGTGAGGGCTGAGAAGGGCAGGCAGGATTGCAGGGAAAGAGCCACATAAAGTTTTAGGATATACTAGCCATTTCCTACTGGAATACCAGATGGGGAAAAGAGGCCTGGAATTAATTAATCTAGTAGTTAATTTAAAACAACTTCAAGCCTAAATTCACCATAGACTGGAATGCAAAATATATAAGTTCACACAAATAGATTTCCCGTTTGCAGGAGACCACTTTGGGTCATTACCCTCTCCCAACTTCCACCTTCAAAATAATTTTCTCTCCCCTTCCCAGAAACACCAAAGTTATGAGTACTAGGCTAGTGATGATCTTGGGTGCTATTTACAAAACAATAATAGTTATCGCTATTTCCTCTGAGATTGCTTTTCTCAAGCAATGTTATCAAGGCAGGATTAATAATAATAAACTCCCTGTTAGGTTCTTTCTCCAGGAAGGCATGATTATTTCACCTTACATGTTATAGATAAGTAAAGTGCAAGTTAGAAAAATTAAGTATAGCGGCACAGTTTGTAATAGCTAAAACTTGGAAACAGCCCATCTGCCCATCTATTGGAAACTGGATAAAGAAGATGTGGTTTTCTATAAAATGGAATACTACTCAGCCATAAAGAACGAGAAATTAGAGTCATGCATAGGAAAATGGACACATATAAAGGATATACTCTTAAGTGAAATAAAAAGTCACACATGTGTAAATACCAAATAGTTTCTCTGGTGTGAAAAACTATAATAGTACACAAATCCTAATGGGATTATTAAGAGTGTGAAATAGGAAGAAAAGGGCTAAAGGTGTAGGGAAAGGGCATAAAGAACGAGAAATTAGAGTCATGCATAGGAAAATGGACACATATAAAGGATATACTCTTAAGTGAAATAAAAAGTCACACATGTGTAAATACCAAATAGTTTCTCTGGTGTGAAAAACTATAATAGTACACAAATCCTAATGGGATTATTAAGAGTGTGAAATAGGAAGAAAAGGGCTAAAGGTGTAGGGAAAGGGGGAAGGGTAGGGGCAAGGAAATAAGGGAAAAGAAAAATATGAGAAAATGAAAAAATGGAAATAAAGAGTATTTTGCCATTTTGGGTAGCCGTTCAAAAAATCTTTTCTTTCTTGTTTTGAACTGTTGTGGCTGCCTCAGTGTCCTGAATTGATTCAAAACAGTGACAGTAATTTCTGCAAAGGTATTATGTCCTCATCCACTTTGTTCTCCACATCCGGTACCTAGAGACTTCTGGCTTTTCCCCAAAGTCTCAAGGATTATGAAAGGTAAACATTTTGAATTAATTCAGGGCAAGGAGGCTGCCACAAGGGTGCAACTAAAGACATTTACAAAAAAAAAAAAAAAAAAAAGATTTTCAGAACTGCTTCCAAAACTGGCAAGAACAAAGCATATAAGTTAGTTTGAAACAGTGGAAAGTATTTTGAGAGAAATTAATAGCAATGTGTCTTTTAATGATAAATTTTTAAATATTCATTATATTTTAAATCATATACATATATACATATATATATACGTATATATACATATATGTGTATATATATATATATATA